GTCCATCCCCCGTTAGTAGTTTTTTGATCACAAAACACTTCAAAGTCAGGTCTAGCACCATCCGGTTTGATTCTGTAAACACCGCTGGTTATTCCACCAGATTTGTACACCTCGGCACAGTTCTTACTCACTGATAAACCTAAATAAATAAGTTATTGATAATATTACTACTACTAATAATAATAATAGTTATAAAACAGTAATAACGAGATGACGACCTGGAGAGTATTCTTCATCTATCTTATAGAAGGAGCTCATTCAACCTTAACTCTTCCAAAGAAAAGGTTCTTGTTAAATTCTAATTTCCTTGGGTCCCGTGCGCCTTCAGTATATGGTTTCATTAGCCAAAGGGGAGGGGGATAGGCACTATCACCTAAAAGTTAAGGACCTATTCCACATTCACATTTGGCCGGCTTAGGTTGTCCCCCTGTCTAGCTCTTTGAAAGATGGTACTGCACCTAAATACGCGAGCGTCTTGCATGCTTCGAGGAGTTCCACATGCGAAGTACACATAATTATTCTTGCCATCAATATTAGCCTGGATTATGTAATCGTGTTGTTGGTAGCGAATGAACTAATCCGGTGCACTGTCGCTAGCTGTAAGTGCTCTTATTCTGACGTGAGAGACGTCAATAGCACCAACAATCTTCGGTAGATTGGTAAGGTCAGCAAACGATGCAATCGGCGAATTTATCTCGTCGAGTCTCTGGAAATTTTGTGTTCGACACGAAGTTCATAAAGGCTATTAACAAAGTCTAAACATCTCAAATGACCGTAAATCACGAAATAAACGGGCAAGTTTCACACAATCTTATCTTTCTCATAATCAACAAAGTTATTCCATCGCGCTAGTTTGCACGTCTTACGTCTTTGCTTGCATATTTGATTTGAATCTATCACAAAAAAAAATGTTACCACATGTTAAATCAAGCGGGAAGTTTTTGAAAGTTTCTCAGTTCTCAGAAAAATATAAACTTACACTCATGAACTGAAAAGTGAAATTTTTAGTTTTTGAAGCAGCAGGAACGATCGTCAGAAAATGGTTTGATCCCAATTAGCTGCAGTCAATACTATTCTGATCTACCGACTTTGGAGAACTGTATATTACCCCCGACTTGACAGTTGTGAAATTATGGTCGCTTGTGTTCACATGTCGAAGACGTTGCAGGAAAAGACCACATATCTTGGTACACCTGGGAAACTTCTAGAAGCAGCTGGCTATGGAGGCTTGCTAATGGTTCTTGTCCACTATCGTTACCTTCATCGTAATTGTAAAGAGATTTTTCGCTTGCGTGCCCGGTCACATACGCTATCGACTGCCTTTCGACGCTTGCTGCCGTCTTCTTCTTCACAGCAATCTTCCTTGCGGTGTGGTTCGTCAATTTCTTCATGCTTTTCTAAAGAGGTGTATTCTTTAGGATGCTCTTCACCATATTATCGATGCTGTTTCGCCGAGTCGCTACCTCATATACTTAACATTTGTTTTGGGGTTTTCGTAAAAAGGACCTTTGTCTCGAAGCTATTGAAGACGTCCACGAAGATCTTGTTTCAGTAACTCAAACGGGACATTTTTTGGCAGAATACCACATTTTGTCGAGTTGTTCGCGCTCGTATCCTTCAAATTTTTCTCTCATTCGCCCTTGTTTGTTAGACATTTAACCAGTCTGTTATTTTCAAGGTCTTTTTATTCTCCACATTTCTTTAAGTTTGCTCGACTATGTTTTGGATTTGCGTAACTGAATCTGCAATTCAAATCTGATCAATGATTTATATACCGCATGTTGTCCTTGAATGGTTTGTTGAGGCATTTGTCTAATGGCTGCAGGACTGGAGTCAGGCCGCCTGGAATAACAGCTACGTCGATCTTGCGCCGTTGTAGGTCTGCTTTCACCGACTCTGTCAGATGGGCTCGGAAAGAATCCCAGACAAGCAGTGACCGTTCATCGCGAGGATTCCGTGGCAAACAGGTACGAATCCACTCCTTCACTCCTGAAATAAATAACAGAATACCCAATTAGAATAAATTGACAGAATGCGAAGATCAGTCATTTGAGCATAACATCAATTACCAGTGAGCTATGAAATAGAAATGTGACAAATTCCTACCTTTTTCATCCATCCAGCCCTTCTTGTGGAACGATACTCGAACAGTGTCTGGAACAGCGAGGTCTCTTGGAGTGCGAACACCTTTGAAGTCCACGGAAGGTGGAAGTTTTTTGCCATCGGCGGCGACTGCGAGTGTGACTGTAAAGCTCCTCTTCTCGGCGCCGCAAGACTTCACTGGAACTGTTCTGCTGCCACTGAATTCAAGGGTTCTGCTCGACGGAAGCTCGAATCGCATAGGAGTTTCATCCATATTGAACAGCCTGGAGAGCGAATGGCCATACCGCTGCCGAAGTGCGATCACGAACCGATGGAACTGGATGGTCTTTTCTTCCAGATCTTGTGTGAGTCGCTGGGTCACGCATGGTTCTATTTATTTACATTAAATTCAACTTATCTGTGATTTGTTGTTACTTTCAATTAAACGACCAATAACAACTGAGTAAGTTGGACTTAATGAATATGTTTATTCATAACCTTCTTTTTGGTTGCATGTTTCCCGGGAGGGAAGCTCCTTTTGTTTTCGGTTTATGTTAATTCATCTCAGTTAACGACACGCGTGGAGTACTTTGCAATTATTAGGTCTCGGCTTATAGCCGAATGTTTTGTGTTTATTTTTTATTTCAATGCAACAGCTGCTGACATGAAAAAGTTTAGGGTCTCGGCTTATAGCCGAGATCGGCTTATAGGCGAATAAATACGGTAGTAGTACTATTGTATTTGTGGCAGTGCGACCCTAAAAATGTTCTCAGAATTTTGGTTTTTCCGTCTGCGGTTTCATATTTTCGGAGAGCTTTGCATGGGCTCCGACATGTATTTAGGAAACTAAGATGTCGGCGGTAGAAAATGTCTTAGATAAAGACTTAGTCCGCCGGTTTCTTATCGAACAAAAACATACTTACGAGGAGCTTGTCATTGAAATCAAGGCTCGATATCCGAATCTAAAGAGCCGTAGTTTACGAAGCTTTAAAAGGATTGATCACATAAAGAACATGACAGTTTTCCTCTCGCTTAATTCTCGGAAAACTGTTCGCAACTCGGAATAGATATTACTACCAATTTGAACGTCCTCATTCACATTTAACTCCACTGTGATGCTTGTTGTAGAAGAACACCTGGCGCTATAGTTTTCAATTTTACATTACCTACCTAAAAGTCCTCTAAGGACATTGAGCTCTCTGACCATTTTTTCCTCGAGCTTTTGGATAGCCTCCACAGTTGTTTCAAAGCGGGCTTCATGGGAATTGATAGCGTGCTTATGGTAAAAAACCGCCACTACAACAACCACTACGGCGATGGTTCCGTAAATAAACCGTTCACTTGTAATAAAGCTGTTCTCTAACCTCCTTAAGAATTCAAATCTCAGACCATTAGTATTTTGGTTTATCACGACTCTTTCTTGAGTATCGGTCATTGTTCAAAGCGACAGCGTAAAGAAAACTACAGCAAATGTAACGCACAGCAGCACAAGATGGGTCAGCATTAGATTCCATCCACCAAAACCACCTTGGTCGAGAGGGACTGAGATGGAATGATGGACAACTCATGACTTGTTATACTAAGTGAAAATTACGAAGCTACGACAACATGCCGACTTATCCCGATGACCTAAGTGTATCATTTGTTTAAGAAATTGCGTCAAAACTTTTTACTCAAGAAATGGTAAGTATTAATTTATTGTTCGATTGTAGTATTATAAAACATTTTACGCAATTTTATGCAGATATTTCACGTATTTAAAAGGTGCCCAGATGTTACGTAGTTTTGGTGGATGTCATCAGGGAACATCCACCAAAACTTTGACCAAAACCATCAACAATATATTTTTTTAATTTTATCTATAGCCACTATTAGATGTTCAGGGAGACAAAAGATTTATACCACTAATTAGCAGTTAGTGCTCTGGCTAATTATTTTTTATGGTGCACAATTGCTGACCGACCAAACGTTCATAATGATTATCATAACTCTTAACACATAGAATAAAGTGGTTTTGGTGGATGTTTCTCTCCATCCACCAAAACCACCATAGCAATTTCTGCTACTTCCTTACAGAAGACTGATGTTACCTGCTATTTGGAGTACATAACCACAATCTATTTCTTTGTATGTAGAGATATTTTGCAAAGTTCTTGAGTCAGCACCATTTATTATTGAAACCATAATCATAACATGGTGCACAATATAGAATACAAAAGGTTCTGGTGTGGTAATCATGTAATCTTGAAACAGGAGAGTTTTTAACTGACTTAAACTGATTTAAACAGACATTTGCAACAAAATTCCAGGTCCAGAAATTTCTTCCACTTTTTCCGCTAAAATCATAACCTTTAAGTACAACAAATCAGCACATTAGTAATTGTTATCAGGGGTCTGAAAATCCTATAAATCTTTCATATTTATTTCAAGTAACCTTTAATTTCACATGGATGAATAAGTATATGCTCAAGATGCAGAATGTCTTACATTTTACAAACTATTTCCCTTTTTATGGATAGACAGTGAAAGGCCTTTGCCACATTGGTGAATCAAACCATTGTATACCATGCATTTTGTGATAATTGTCTGTTTTTGCTCACAATATCCAGAAAAATGGAGGGGATAAATTTAAATAGCAAATTCTATTAATGGTTAAAATTGAATAACATTGGAAGATCAAATTAACTTTGTACTGTTTAAAATTCAGTTTTGGTTTCTTGCTTATTCCAGCCTCTTAATATTCAAAAGCATTCCTTGTCATTTTTGTGTTCTTCTGTGTACATAACTTGAAAAATAAACACAGAGAAAGGAAACCACAAAGGATTAAACTTGAAGCTAAAGCAAAGTTTAAGTTGAGCCATATCTGATCCAAATACTGAGCGCTTTGTATTGTAACCCATTTAACAGTAAAGTTTATC